TGGGGGGTAGCGGGGGGGGGTCTTCTTCAGTGATGTTCTCTTCCTCCGAAGTTATATTCTAGACACAAGGATGCAATCCAGCAAGCAGTTCATTTCCAAAACAAGACTTCCACTCCCCGAAGATTGACATCACGTGGGGAGTAATTACACGAGTCCTTGAGCAGATCGCCCATCTGTGGGGCCACCGCGCCTCCGTCCTTTGGAAACCTGAAGCTTTCTCTTCCCACCCCGAGCGCTGACGAGGAGGATTTTACAAGTGGATCAGGCACTGGGGCCTTTCCTGCTGCGAACTCTTGTTTTCACCCATCAGACCCTTTCTGAGTCAGGACAAGCAGCACATTTCAATTCCAAGGTGAGGCAAGGCACATGAGGCATGAAACACACTTTTTTTTTTTTTCAATTTTGTTTTGTGATTTTTACCTCCTGGGAATTGGTCTTTCATCTTCCAGATTTACAGGGGGAAAGTGTGACAAGTTCCAAGGGAAAATTCCACAGCTCCATGGTTTCTCTGGAGCACGGAACATCTCAGGAAGTATTTGTGATAAAGTCAAGGCAGGCCTGCACCAGAAGGGTCAGAAACTTGAAGCATTGAACAAGTGCGAGCCACATTTAGACTGCAAATGAAACAAGCAACTCGGCTGGGTGTCCGGTTTCATCCCGAAACTTTGTGAGGCGTGCAGCATTGTGCCAGGGCCTTCCCAAGGTGGTGGTTAAGATTTGTACACAGACTTTCTAAATGAGGATCTGAAGCTTATAAAACCGAGCCCACCTCCAATATGAAATCTCTGCTTGCTCATGCTAACTTTCAAAGATTAGAACCATCTAAAACTTCTCCATCTGTGCTGAAGGTGAGATTTCCCTTTATGTTTGAGGGCAGTGGGGGTGGGGAGGGGCGGAAGGAGCTGATTTCCATTTGTTTGCTAAGAGAGGAAATGTTCCCTTATATTCCCAGGTCTCTTCTTTGAAGTCGACCTATTTTTCTACAGCCCATAATGAGAGCCTTCAAACCAATATGTTCTCTGTTTTCTCCTAGCAAGGAAGGTTGAATGGCAAACTGGACGTGTCTGCTGGTGACTTCAATCCTGGTAAAAGCAGCTGAGACTACAGACAGTGGATCTGGATACCAGCACTGACAAGGTAAGCAGTGGATTTTAAGCCAAACTGAAATAAATGCACCCCTCGCCCGACACTCATTCATAAAACTCAGCTACTGGCTTTTGTCCACAAGCTTTAGTGTCTGGTAGAGGTACCCAACAGAAGAACCTGGATCTCCCAGGAGAGGGCAGCACAGGTGGCAGTGAGGTCAAAATGAAAGAAATAACAAGAAAACAGACACGCAGGGTTCCATGCCAATCAACAGTTGGCCAGCCCTTTTGCTCAGTGGTTCCCAGGGCCTGATCAGCCACCTCAGCATCACCTGGGAATGCAATGAAATGCACATTCTCAGGCCCCCCCAGACCTGCTGAATCTGACCCTTTGAGGGTGAGGTGCAGCTATCTGTGCTTTAACAAGCACTTCAGGGGGTTCAGGTTTAAAAACCACTGCTTCACTTGATGGTCTCCCAATCTGGCTAATCATTAGCATCACAAGGCAGCATTTAAAACCTTTCTGATTCTAAAAGCTGCCTCATACCTACTGAACCAGAATTGCCCCAAGCTCAAATGATCAGCCTTCCAGAAGAGATGACTGACTAACTCACAGGACTCAGCCAGCACAGTGAACAAAAAACCTCCCTGGAGCGAGTGCCTGTCGTTCCCCAGGGATGCTGACAATTTTCCAATTCCTGTATCACCCAGTCTCAGTCAAGTCTCTCGAATTCCTTCTGGGTTTAATATCAAGTTGATTTCTGCTTTAAAATTAAGTTGATTTCTGTCGCTGCTAATGAAAAAAACAGTGACAATGACTAACACCAACATTTTATCTGAATTTGTAAGAAATAAATATTAAGTGATAAACTGCCAGTTGCTCCCTCCGCACCCGACCCTCTGAAACAAGGGCTTTTCCTATGAGCTGGAAGCATGCATTTGGCAGGAGAATTGAACAAAGGTTTCGTAGGAGGGGAAAGTTACTCAGATAAAACGAAAATTGGGATCCACAGAGGACAATACGGTACAAAGAATTCAGCATCCACTATAGGTAAGGTGATAAAGAAAACCCAATCTCTTTAAAGAAATTCAAGTCTCAGTTCAGATGCTGATTAATTATGCCCCAGGAACTGAAAGACAATGCAAAGATGATCTTAAAATGCAGTCAGTAATCAGAGAAATTATGGAAAGCTGAAAAAGTGCCAGAGATGGGACAAGGGCAAAGAAAAGCGAAAGTGGGATTTTGCAAAGTTCAGACCAAAGAGTTTTAACAATTCGCTTTAGAAATTTTTCAGGCACTGCATAAAACAGGTAGATCTGAACATTCAAGAAAGAAAGTAAAGTGATTATGATCACGTACCGTGATTAGTCAAGAACCAAGCAAAAAAAACCCAAAACGCTTTCAGGTCTGTTTTATATAGTCACTGGGGATCAAAGGATATTTGAACCATGCTGTCTCTTTATTTCAGTAAGGTAATTGGCAAACATCCCATTATTTTCCTGGGGCAGGGATAAAAAAAAAATATGTGAGATGAATGATAAATGTCACCCAAAACAAAAGTTTTCATCAGGGCAATAAATACGATTAGGAAATAGAGTATGGTCCTGATTGAGTTTTCTTTAAAAGCCTTAAAACTTTACAGTGCTTTCATTTTTGGGGTGGGGGCAGGGGCTACCTTTCAAATGTCATATCTGAAAGTCCCAAGCCATTATTCCCAAAATGCTACTGTACTTGCTCATAAAAACATGCATTACTTTCCAGGAGCACTGTTGCCACAGTGGGGTACACCCTCAGAGCTCCCTGTGTCTGCGCCATTGCTTGGAGCAGGGTCTAGGGGCTCTAGAGGCAGAAAAAAAATGCCCATTGCTGAGTCCCACAGGTTCAGAATGCTGCATCTGCAGCAGAAACCCTTTCCGGTCAGAATTAGCAGACAATAGAGAAAAACCGATATTACTCTTAATAGATCAAATTTTTCACATGCTCAACTGAAAGTGGAATGTGCATTTCCCGTTTTATGATTAGCTGAGCTTTTCTGTGATTCTGCTCTTTGTATCTCACTCAAGGCAAGTTGGAAGCACTGTCACAGCAGCAACTGTTGACGCGCTTGTATCTATCTACAAGTACCTACAGGCTATTAGGTACTTCGAGCATTCCTCCCTCCCCTCAAATTCCCCACAGGTAAATTTCTCATAGGCACGGATGGTTAAGAACAACATCACTCATAATAGGATTCACTTTCATACCTCTTAATATGTACTAGACACTCTCGTAAGTGCTTTTAACAAATCGTTTCATCTTTGCCCAATGCTGCAAAGCGTTATTATTGTTGTCCTATTTTACAGATGAGGAAATGAAGGCACACAGCAGTCCATGAGCTTGTCTAAGGTCACACAGCTAACTGCTGGGGAAATCTGATTTCAAACCCAAGTATTCTGGCTCCAGCGTCCAGTCTCTCTGAGCTATATGCACTTCATCTTTACTTCTGCATGTGTGTCCCTGAGCCCGAGAGAATCCCAGTGCATATGTAATTTACATGACCCTTCAGAGTCCACCCCGTCGTGACACACAGTGAAATGAGAGGCTCTTCAGTGTGAAACCACAGGGCACTCGATGTCACGGGGGATAGAAACACTGCTTCTTATTGTGCATGTTACTGGTAAAAAGCAAAACAAGTTTGGAAGCATCTTTTTAAAAAGAGAAATACTGAAAATACGCCAATCAGCTAAAATGAGTGCTAAATGAAAATCATTTGATTCTCATTCTTGCTAATGTGAGATGTGTAAAAAATACAGATATTCTCTCCATTGTGCTGACTTGAATGTTTTATGTAGTAACCACAGAGGCTACTTATAAAGGCTATGGAGATTTGCTTACAACCCTAATTCCCCAACACCAGTTTCCTATAAGACCTTACGTTGCCCGACCACAAATTCTTATACTAGGTGTTTTCAGGGCCTGAGTCTCCCCAGATGGGAGGAAATTCCATACTCCACGCTACTGGCCTGGCACAGTACTGTACAGTACGGTGGGGCGGCTCCTCAGACACAGAAGATGAATGGGCTGCTTTGACTGGCCCGAATTCATCGCATCACAATGACGCCTTCAAGGGCCATTGAAATGGGACACAGGGCTGCCTCACACACATTCACAGAGTGCAGCATGTCTTCTTTCAAGGATACCCCCCTCACGCTGCCCCCTAAATATGAATGTCATCCTGGGCATTCTAGGGAGCTTCCCAGCTGCTGCCTCTTCTGTAAACAGTGAGCGCTGCTTCACATCTCTGACCGCAGTGTCACCACCATCAGAAACACTGGGACTCTTCCAAAACTGTCTTCACTTGGCTTTGCTCTCTCTTGCTTCTTTAATCTCTACTTGCCGTTCCCATTTCCCCACATTAGGGAGAGCAGGGGGAAAAAAAAAACCCAAAAACCCACACAGCGTGCCTTTCTTATAGATACTGTAATCCTCCTTTAGTTTAACTCATTATATTATTCACTCATCCATTCATCCATTCAATGAACCCTAGTATTTGTCAGACACTAGGAGTCCTTCAATGACAAGGGACAGCAGACACGGTCTGTACCCTCATGGGGTTTGTAAAGCAATTGGACAACAGACAATGAACTAATCCCAACAGACTGTAATTAGAGTCAGCGGTATGTGCAAGGAGGAGAATGGAGAGGGAGCCAGGGGAAACCTTTAAGGGCTTTACGCAGAAGAAATGATCAGATTTTCATGTTTAGAAGTCCATGATGTAAAACAAAGCTCATGGTGGCTGCCGTTCGGCTGTAGGCCATGATGCTCAATGGCAGGTATACATCTCAGAGGAAAGGTGGATGAGAAACCTTGCAATGGATGGGCCAGACTAACAACCCACAGATTAATCCACAGATCAAACTTTCCCTCGCAAAAATAGGTTCAACCAGACCGTAGGTGCCCCCTGATGGACATTCCTGACATCGACTATGATGCATTCTTTCTAGAAAATCATACTGATGTCTGATCAAACCTCTAGATATAACTACCAGTTTCCAGAGGACAGAGGAACATATAAAATGACACTTTGAAAATGCCATCAGAGAACCTCGAACCTGGGAAATTTCAGTATAAAAACCATGTGATTTCTTCAACAATAAACTAGAATGATAAGAATAAGATGGAAATTTAAGATTAAGAGAAACTCAAGGAACTAAATCAACTGTAATGATTGAACCTGGTCTGAATTCAAATAAACCAATTATACTACCAAAAAAAAAAAAAGTGAGAGAGAAATTGAAAGGCTGACTGAACATTTAGCAATGTTAAGGAATTATTGGTAGCTTTATTAAGATGTGATTATGTATTCATGCTTATGTTTTTTAAAGTGTCTTTATGTTTTAAAAATACATACTGAAATATTTACAGATGAAACCATCTTAAGTCTGGAATGTGTTTAGAATAATCCAGTGTGCATGACTAAAGTAGGTGAAGGTATGGATGATACAAGGTGAACTTTGTTGATGGTTATTCATGGAACATAGGGGCTTATTATATTATTCTCTCTACATTTTTACATGTTAATTTTTCATAATAAAAGTTTTGAAAAAAAAGAATATGGGATTTCGGTGATGGTTGCGCAATCTTAAATTTACTAAAAAATCACTGAATTGTACACTGAAACAACTGAATTTTATGGTATGTAAATTACATTTCAATAGAGTTATTTTTTTAAAAAAATGCAAAATAAGAGATCTATGAAACTTTAAACCTACTTAAAACCTATTAAAAATTTAAACCTATTAAAACTTTAAAGGCAATAAAATAAAAATAGTAAAAGACAAGGAGACCATTAGGAAGCCTTCACTAGAGATCAACAGAGAGATGCTAATAGCTTAAACTGGGATGGAAGCCCTGAAGGTAGAGAGAAATAGATTCAGGGAATATTTATGACACAAACTCTGCAAGACTTGGTGGATGGTGGCACATGGGGATAAGAAGGAGGTGTAGAGTTCCTGGGTGTCTGGTTTTCAAGTGGACAAAGAGCTGTGTACTTGCTGAGATGGGGAACAATAGAGAAGCAGGACTGTGGGAGGGTGGTCCTCAGTTGTTATGGTACCTGAGGCACAACAAGCAGAGGTGAGCACGCACAGCGGGAGCCCAGGAAAGAGAGTTCCACAGTTCTCAGGTCGTCGGTGATTTTTAGGAATGTCTGCCTGCTGTTGAGCCAGGGCTCCTGGGCTGAGACATCTGGGGGTTCCAGACATAGGACAACCTCCAAAACGACAACAAAAGATGTTGTCCTTTCACCAAGTTGGAGCTAGCCATTTTTTTAAAACTAAAGTTTAGGCCTGGTCAAGTGGCACGTTGGTTAAGAGTTGGCTTGGGACGTCAGCTCTGAGCAGCAGGGCCCCGGTTCAGATCCCACATGAGAGCCAGTGATGCTGCACCCTCTACAGCTAAGATGGTGAACAACAGCTCGACCTGGAGCTGGGCTGCCGCGAGTCGCCGGCGATGATGTAGGCTGCAGTGATGCTGCAGTGGGCTGCCATAAGCTACCTTGAGTGGCCAGCAGCCGGCGTGAGCTGCCCTGAACTGCCATGAGTGGCCATCCAGTGACCGGCAACCAATTTGCCTCAGCCGGGAAGAGCGCAATGATAATACCAACATGGGCCAGTGAAGCGACGCCCTCCACAACTAAACTGAAGAACAAAAGGGCAGCAACGCATCTGTTCCCCTTCCCTGATTCCCCAATAAAATCTTTAAAAAACAACCAAAAATACCCTGAAGTTTAAAAACAAAAGACTGCTAAATGTTTAATATGTATCCTATTTGAGATCCTTTTTAAAGGAGAATTTAACCCAATTATATTTATTATTATGATTGATATTTTTTATTTTCCTCCTATCATCTGTTTTTTGTAAGCTCGTAGTTTATATTTCTTTGATCATTTTATTTGGTGGTGATTGTTGTTATAGGAATAGACTGTTGTCATAGTATATCTATATAAATTGGTATAATTTGGTACTGGTATATTTTATTATATATTATTAGTATTTGTTTTTATTTTGTTTTTCTCCAGGATTTGAAATGGTGGCTCTTTCTTGTCTCACATGAGAGCACCTTAGAGAAGAGCTGTAGAAAGAAATGGTGTCTGCTTTCTGTATGCGTCGTGCGTTGGGTCGTAGCATGAAGAACAGGAGTTACAGAACATCTGCTCTTTTTCTGGCAGACAGTTTAAACAAAGGAAAATGAAATATGTAGCAAACTGAAAATCAGTCAATTTCCTTAACTAAGGCCTATTTGCCTTATGATTAATGCCAGCTCCTTCCAGATACCAGCATCGGGTTTCTGCCTATCTCAATTTTCAGAATTCTTGAGAATATATTCCTTGATATTTGGGGGGTTTCTTTTCTGGGAAATTGAAAGAGGCTGCATTGAAGACTACCATTTAAATGAGATTTTAACGCTAAAATCTCTCAGAGGAAATCAAACTAAAATGAGAGGCATCCAGCCTCCTCTGAACTTTCAGCTTCTACAATCTTTTTAGCTTACAGAAGTTTCTTATTCCCAGGCTTCCTTTGTATAACATCTCAGTACAGAGTTTGTATTGGAAAACTGGTTTCCCTCCTTCCCTCTTATTTAGTTTCTATGCCCCTTACCAATTTCATCTTAATAATTTGCAGATTTCATTTGGCTTCATTTATTCCCATTGTTGCTATTTCGAGGCGCTCCCAATTGCTGCATGACATTCAACTCTGGATGCATTCTTGGGGTTTTTCCTTTCAATTAAATGCTTCCAGAAACAAAATTTCGGAAAATGGGTTCACCCTAGCTGATTCAGATCTGAAAGCTTTTCCAAAGAGATTTTACAAAGAAAATATTGCTGGCTTGAAACCTCAAGCCCTGGGTTCTGGGCTGCAATTTGAATTTGGCTTTCAATTTTTGTATCCCTAGCAGTGTAAAAATCCCGGTGAAGTAACAGTCTTTTCTAAGAAGGTTCCGGATCTCTGGAATGTGCTTTTTTTCCTTATCCAAAGGAATTTCAAGGTACAGTGTGGACTTGCTTTTCTTGCCCTGACCAACTGAAAGCAGCAAAGCCTTTACTCATATTCCAGTTTAAAAGCTTTTCCTTTAATGGAAATTTTTACTCCTCTTCGATAGAGAGTGTTATAAGGATGAGTGAGCTCAGTTGTGTTGTGAAACTTTGCATATGCAAAATATGCTTTTTATTTCCTTGCAGTGATTGCTTCAGAGGCAGCCAAACAAGCTTCCAATAAATTCTTAAAGGTACAGCATCATCCACTGTCACTTCTCGAAGTGTAGTCTGTGGACCAACAGCATCAATATGCCTGGGAGCTTGTTAGAAATGCAGACTCGTGGGCTTCACCACTGACCTACTGAGTCAGAATCTGCATTCTAACAAGATCCTCAGACGACTCACATGTATTTTAAATCCTGAGAAGCACTACAACTAGATCCAAGGGGATGTTGCTCTGCTGACCCATGGACTAGACTCTGAGATGCCAGGATCTAGAGAATAGCAGTCCCGCGGTATTGTGGGAAAGGGATGGCCAGAGTGTGTCTCCAAAGGTAGGATGGAAACACCAGGCAGTCTTGGACCCCACCAGATAGAGAATTTGGGGAAAGGTGCTTTGGATATCACTAGAAGAAAATTAAGTTCTGGACGAAGAGGATAGCAGTGAGGGCCTTTCATACACATGCACAC